TACTGCCCTTAAGTCATTCTTCGTTATATTGTCAAAATGTCACATTGTAATTTTCTTTGTTACTTTTGACCAAAGCCTGTAAAAAATATCACCTTTATGTCTGAGATTATCGATCAAGGTAATTTTAGGGTTTTTGCTTCTTAATAATTAAAAGTCACCTCATTATGCAGAATACCTGCTGCCATGATGTTTGAGAAATAAGCGTGTATTTATATTCTTTGTACTCTGCGAGTATTATTTGAATGAATGGTGTTCTATTATTTCTACCTATAAGCAGATTTTTTTGCGGGAAGGCCTTCAAGCAGGGCCTGCTCCTGGTGATGCTTCACCTGCTGGTCAGTGTTCCCCCCTCCCCCTGATCTCCAGTCAGACTGAGTGCCATCAAGGCCATACCTGTAGGTGCTTGTGGGGACTCATGCTGGGGTCAACTCAGGGCCTTTGTGTGGCCAGTCACGTGCTCTCAGTCCCCTGAACTATTTCCCTGGTACCTGTAATCAGAATCCTAAGGCAATCTAAAGGATGTAATGTTTGTAAATAGACTTGTCATTTATGCCAGAACTACACTAGCTCCTTCCTAACTAGTTCTCCGTGGCTCTCTGCCATTGCTAGGTGAATATTTTTAAAGCCTAGCTCTTGTGTTCAGCAGCTCTGTTCACATATCTCATAAAATGCAAACACCATTAAGTTGGCATTTAAGATTCTCTGGAGTCCAACTCTAACCTTGTTTATTTTACTTCAAGTTGATATGTTTTCTACCAGCACACTGCTTTCCCGCCATGAGCGCCAGTTCACCGAGTTAGGAGCGTTAACGGCATTCTTTTTTCTCTCCAAATTCAGCAGACTCTGTGGTCCATTTTCATACTGATCTTCAGGCCATGAATAGAAAATTGGTGCTTCCTATCTATTAGTCTAGATCATTGATCATTTCTTTCTGGGTCCATCCTGTGTACTTTCTGCCAGATGCTTTGAGATTAAAAGATGTCTCGGCTTCGTGCTTGCAAACTTGATATGAGCTAGGCTAATTTAATCAATGTGTACAAATGGGACATAGTAGGGATATTTCTCCATGAGAATTACGGGACTTGATACTTTTTGATTTTAAAGTTTTGTTATTTTGCCGGAAGATTGGGCAAATTTTTTTTCTGATAGTTTCAATTTGTAACTTACAACTGAGCATGCTTTTGTCTTTATTTGCCATCTGTGGGGCTGGAGAGACAGCACAGCGGTAGGGCGTTTGCCTTGCACGCAGCCAACATGACCGACCCGAGTTCGATTCCTCCGCCCCTCTCGGAGAGCCTGGCAAGCTACCAAGAGTATCTTGCCCGCCCAGCAGAGCCTGGCAAGCCACCCGTGATGTATTCTATATGCCAAACACAGTAACAACAAAATCTCCAATGGAGACGTTACTGGACCCGCTCGAGCAAATCGATGAACAACGGGAGGGCCTTTACCTTTACCTTTACCTTGCCATCTGTGTTTCAAAATTTATCTTTTTGGTGATTTGTTTGTTACTGATTCTTTAGATATTCTGAAAATAATTTTTCTCAAAAGGTTGTAAGTGTCTTCTCCTCTAGTCCTTAAAGTTCATGATGTTGGGCCAGGGAGTGAGCTGAAAGGGCTGGAGTATATGCTTTGCATGCCAGAGCCCTGGTTGTCTTTGGCACAACATGGTCCCCTGAGCACCTCTGGAAAGACCCCTGATACACCAGGCTTGTAATAGTCTCTGAGACCCAACAGGTGTGGCCAAACAAAATAAAAACAAAACAAAACAAAATCCTTAGTGTTTTTCAGTATTTAGATGTGTCCTTGTCGAGCAGCCTTGGGCAGAGTGGTAGTCAATTCAGATTGGCAGGAAACAATAAAACCAAGTCCTACACTCAGTCAAAACTGGTGGTGATGGAATGGAAAGGTGGGTGAAAGAAATGTGTGCAGGTGTCTTTTTGGTGGTGGGATGATGTTGGAACTTTGGTGGCAAGAGTAGTGAATCGTGCACAGAGTAAGGTAGTGAGCTATACCCCTGCAATTCTACAGTGTCATGCACTAATGAAAGCAGACTTAAAAACTGGGAAGGGGAACTTGTACAGATGTCTTGGCGGTGTGTTTCATGGTGATATAGGCCCTTTCCATAAGTAGATACTAGCCCCTAAGTCCCACCAGACCCTGGGCCCTCTGTGTGCTTACTGTACCACTCTTACCCTCACTGCATACTACCAGTTTAATGTCATCTATTAGAATTAATTTGCTGTCCAGAAACAGCAATCTTTGCACTTCAAAGCATGTTTTCTACCCTATAATTTATCAGATTGAGAGAGTTTATAGATGATACCATCTTTTGCTTCAAGATGAATAGATTAGTGCCTATATTAAGTATGTGTATATCACGGTCACAGTCCTCCCGTTGTTCATCGATTTGCTCGAGCGGGCCCAGTAACGTCTCCATCATGAGACTTGTTGTTACTGTGTCTGGCATATCGAATACATCACGGGTGGCTTGCCAGGCTCTGCTGTGTGGGCGAGATACTCTCGGTAGCTTGCCGGGCTCTCCGAGAGGGGCAGAGGAATCGAACTCCAGTTGGCCATGTTGGCTGCGTGCAAGGCAAATGCCCTACCGCTGTGCTATCACTCCATGCCCATGTGTATATCAATATGTCTTAATACTTCAGATTTCTAAGACTTGGCAAATAAACATTCTTTCTGGTCTCACATATAACCAGAGATTCTTATTGTTTGCTTATACTTGTCCATTTAAATCAGTCAAATATAATTTCCCTATTTAGAAATCTTCCATGGAATTTACCAAAACATTATATAATCTTTTGTTGCTCAGGATTCCCTTCCAAGAATGTATATTCCATCCTTAACCTTTTTTTTTTTTTTTTTTTTTCCCTTTATTTTATTTTATTTTTTTTAAAGTTGTAGATTTACAATTTTTTGTTCTTTGGTTTCAATTATACAATGATCAGATACCCATCCCTCCACCAGTGCCCATTTTCCACCACCATGGATAATATCCCTCCCACCCCCATCCCCCCATCCCCCCGTCTCTGTGGCAGGGCAATCCCCTGTGTTCTCTCTCTCCTTTTGGGTGTTTTGGTCTGCAAAAGAGGCATTGAGTGGCAAACATGTTCAGTCCATAGTCTACTTTCGACATGCATCTCCCCTCCTGGGAGGATCCTCCAAACATCCTTTATTTGGTGCTCCCTTCTCTATCTGAATAGCCCTTTCCTCTAGGATACCCGGCTGGCCTCTAAGTTATGGAGTAATCCTCCTGGTGCTGATCTCAGCTATTCTTGGGTATTAATCTCATACTTTGTTACTTTATATCCCCCAGATGAATGCAATCTTTCTATGTCTATCCCTCTCTTTCTGACTCGTTTCGCTTAGCATGATACTTTCCATATTGTACCACTTGTATGTAAATTTCATGACTTCATCTTTTCTAAGAGCTACATAGTACTCCAAAAAGAACAAAAGCAACCGATGCTGGCGTGGATGTGGCGAGAAAGGGACACTCCTTCACTGTTGGTGGGAATGTCCACTGGTTCAGCCCTTCTGGAAAACAGTATGGACGATTCTCAAAAAATTAGAAATTGAGCTCCCATTTGACCCAGCAATACCACTCCTGGGAATATATCCCAGAGAGGCAAAAATGTATAGTCGAAGTGACATCTGCACTTGTTTGTTCATTGCAGCCCTCTTTACAATAGCCAGAAACTGGAAGAAACCTGAATGCCCAAGAACAGATGACTGGTTAAAGAAACTTTGGTACATCTACATCCTTAACCTTTAAGGCTACATTTTAGCATTATCTGATCTCTTATCCTAGAGAAAACAAAACGGAGCATGATTATTATTGTTGTTATTATTTTGGTTTTGGGGCCACCGCTGGCAGTGGTCAGGGCTTCCTCCTGGCTCTGTTCAGGGGTCACTCCCAGGGGTGCTGAGGATCCATCCTGGGCCAGCTCCTGGCCAGCACCCTACCCACTATACTCTCTCTCCACAAAATGCAGCCTTGATTTAGCAAAGTATTATAAATAGTCTTATAATCTTTCCTTGATAGTGTAAAGACCTTAGAATATTTAGATTAACCTCCTGTTTACCTCACCCTCCCCAAATTTTTATGCTGTTGTCATTACGAATTTATTTTGTGCTAAGACCCATAAGGTGTAACTATTAATATTGTCTTGTACAGTCAATATTTATATTTTGCCAGCTTTATTGTGGTATAGGTATGTATAATAGAAGTGTAATTGTTCAAAATGTACAAATAAATTTTGACTAAGAGTGTGTGTGTGTGTGTCTGTGTATACGTACGTATCCTCTAGTACCGTGATTTCTGTTGTCCGATCTTCTAGAAAAAATAGTCATTAACAGAGCCTCAGTGCAGTTCTCTACACTTGGATTTAGGTTTTATAACTACTGGCAGTGAAGGTGGTTGGAAAATTTTCATAATCTTTCATACTACCATTTTAGAATTCTGTGTTTATTTAGCAGTCATTTAAGGAGTTTTGCATATTTTAGATCAGTTCAGTATTCCAAAGTTCCTTTTATGAAAAAAATTCAAGTGCATCTTCTATCATTTTTATTTCATCATTTATCATGATGAAATAAATGCATTTGAGCTTTTCCATTCCTAAAAAACTTGATTTCTCCTATTTTGTACCTCTTAGAAATAACGTCGATAAAATGTAGAGCCTCTTCCGTTCTTTTGAGTCTTCTGTTTGTGGAGCCACCACATGTGGTGGTGCTCCTGGGCTACTTCTGGTGCTACTCTGGGGACCTTGTGATGCCATTGATTGAATCCAGGCTTCCTGCATGCAAAACTTAATGTTCTAACTTTTTTTGAACAATCTTCCTGGTCCCTGAGTCTTTGGTTCAATGATTGTGATTTAAAAAAATAAAATGTTCTTACAAACTAAATGTAAGATTTGGCTGTTGGGCTAATTGCCCACCCACACTGAGAATGAGGTTTAAGTTAATTTTTTTTTTCACTCTTTTAGCTGATATAGCCCAGAGGTATAGGATAAGCAAATACCCTACCCTCAAATTATTTCGTAATGGGATGATGATGAAGAGAGAATACAGGGGTCAGCGATCAGTGAAAGCACTTGCAGATTACATCAGGCAACAAAAAAGTGACCCTGTTCAAGAGCTTACCAACTTAGCAGAAATCACCACTCTTGATGTAAGTTGTTCAACTCTTATTGAATTGCCTGTTTAGTTAATGTACACAAATTCTTATGCAAAATTCTTATCCAAAAATATTTGGCCTTTTAAATAGTTAATTGCAATGAATATCCATACTTAGAAAGTTGAAGTTTAATTCTCAAGAGATGCTAATGTTTTGCCGAACCATTGGTTAAAATACATAACACAGCAAAATTGCACTAATTTGAATAAATTGAGGGCAAAGGGTAACCTAAATTATAAAACAGCACAAGTGAAGATCAGCCACACATAACCAGTTTCCATATTTTCTTTAGTCGAGATTATTCTTCTCAGTGATTACTCCTATGTTAGCTCTTTATGTAAATTTTAATGCCTCCTCAAACAACCCCCACCCTACCCCCAATTATAACAGTAAACTTAGCAAACCCTTCCTACTAAGTAGTGCTTAAGTAAATTTAAAAAATAAGACCATTAAATTTGGGCTTTGGGTCGTTACTGTCAGTCAGCTTTGCGATATAATTTTATTTTACTTACAACCTAATTGAATTTGGCAGTTACCCTTCATTGGATGTAAGGGGACACAGGATCTTCTTGCTCATGTCACAGCTGTGTGAGCAGGTTTGCAGCCCTCCCAAGTTCTGTGCAGGTGACACAGAGAGCTCAGATGGATGCCTGAGCATCTAACAAGTTGTACTACAGGAGAAGAACTCTGGGTTCCTAAAGCTCCCATTTCAGAAGTAGCAGTAAGCTTGCTCTTTCTTAGGAGGGAGACATTACCTGACACCTCAGCATTGCCTGCTGCAAACAGAACCCTTGGAAATGGCCTGGGTAGTAAAGGGTGGTCAGTATCTTGCACCTGGAGTAACCCAGGTTTATAGGAATATGAGGAACCATAGAGAAACCTCTGCCAGCTGATCAGCTGGCACTATTTTAACATGCTTAAGGATTGGTCACCCTATTTAGGAAAATATAGTCACTGATTAGATAGTTGTATTGAATAGTTGTATTGATAGTTGCTTCGATAGTTGTGTTGAAAGCAAAGTACAATGCTAGAGGAATTTTTTTTTATCCTATTACAGTTAAAATAGTTTTCAAACCAATGTAATAAAAAAATTTTTAGATTAATTACTAAACACCAAACATGCACTTATAGTTTAGTTACTTTGGAGATAATTAAATGGCTTGGTAAGTGAAATGGCATGTTTATAGAAAAGTATATGTTTGAAAACTATATGCTTTTTTTTTACAGCGCAACAAAAGAATTATCATTGGATATTTTGAGCAAAAGGATTCAGAAAACTATAGAGTTTTTGAAAGAGTAGCAAATATTTTGCACGATGATTGTGCCTTCCTTTCTGCCTTCGGGTAAGTAAGTGAGAATGTGTGTTAGTTGGTCACCTTGGTTGCCACACAGCTTGATGGTGTGTGGTCATTTTCTGAAGATGATGGACCTCTCCAAAGATTATTTTTAACCCTCTTAAAAACTAGTCTTTTTCTCACTCTGTTTTAAGAGTTTAAGGATGCTTATTCTTTCTGTGCTACGTTCTATTTCACATTACAGGTAAAAGGAAAAGAAGAGGCAAGTTAACAACTTACTTATTCCTACTTGAATTCATCTCATTTACTAATGCTCTCCTATGTCCAAACTGAAAGAACAATCTTTCTCTTTAAGAAGCATGAGTTTTATTGTCTTCATCTTAGACTCCAGAGAGCAGACTCTAGTTTTCCCAAGTCTTTCCCAGGCTAACCTCAGTGGTATCTTTGTAACTGTCCCTTCTAAACCCCGAGGCTTTGATCCGTCAATTCTCCTTGCTTTCTCTTGTTTTCAGCCTGATCCTTTTCTAAATAAATTACTTTATCTCTTCTGTTTCTTCTCTCCTGAGCTATAATCTCATTTCTTTCCCTTCATTCACAATTTCCCCCTACTATTAGTTTATGTGTGGCTACCATGAATTTCTCAAACTTAAATTGCCAAAAAGTCTTACCTTCTTCGAAATTGACTTTCACCTCTATTACTCTAATGAGTCTTCTCTCAGCAGTCATGAAATGACTTCACAATTATCAACACCTGGTGGCCTTTTGCGTTTTTAATCTTTAATTTTGCTAAAGGTTATGAATCAGCTACCTTGTCCTTTTACTTTATATTGCCATGCTTATACTTTATATTGAATCACCTTGCTTGTGCCTGGTTTCTCTTACCTTCCTGACTTCATCTTCTTTTTCTCTCTAAAAATGGAATTCCTGTGGTTCTGACTGTAACCCTTTCTTGACCCTTTCTTTTCTAAGAACAGTTATTCTCACCATTTTTTGACTTTGTTTAATATTATTTTTTGTTTTCTTTGACCCACAATAGTTAAACTCAGCATAGTATCTATCTTGAATATAGAGTTTAGAATTCTTTTAAAGGTTTTGTATATGTGTCTTAATGTGATTATTAGCTGTGGGGTTGTTTTGTTTGTTTTGTTTGTTTTTATGGAGAGTTTTCCCAAGCAATGGTCATGGGACCTACAATTCCCAGTGATACTTAAGGCTATGAGTTGCTGGGCCCATTCGGTGCCGGGGATAAAACTCTAGCTCTTTGAAGGTATTTTCCTAAGCTCTAATAGTATTTTTGAAAATCACTGTACAGAGTTGGACCAGGAATGTGATATGCTTAGTAATAAAGTATATGCTTTGTTTGTAAAAGGCCCCCGAGTTTGATCCTAAAACTAACAACAAAAACTATAGAGCAAATCACTTTATTTTAAATAAATACTGCTTTCCAGTTATACTGTACACCATCTTGTCATCACTTAAACACTGCAGTGTGCACTTCTGCCACTTGCCAGAGAGCTTTTGTGCTTTCTACGTTCGTGGTATTTGAGGTGCTTCTCTCAGATGTCATTTGGTCACCAACATCTTTTCCCCAAGCATTTTATAAAAGTGTTATCATCATACAGCTTTGTTGCGTTTCAGTCACTTATTTACTTTAAGCGCTTCTCTGTGTATTTTATTTATTTATTTATTTTGGCTTTTTGGGTCACACTAGGCAATGCACAGGGATTACTCCTGGCTCTTCACTCAGGAATCACCCCTGGCAGTGCTCAGGGGACCACGTGGCATGCTGGGAATCGAACCCGGGTTGGCCATATGCAAGGCAAACGCCCTACCTGCTGTGCTGATACTCCAGCCCCCTTTGTGTATTTTAAACCATTCAAGATAAATATATTTTCTTAACATGTCCTTTCCCCCCTTGAGCATTGTTAGTTCGGTTTACTAATGTATACCCAGAATCAAGACAAGTCCTGGTACAGACAATGCACATGGAGACTGGAGAGTGAACAAATGCTTTTCTTCCTTTTTATTCTACTGTCATCCATCCAGGGCACAATTATTTGAGATAAATCAGTGTTTAATTAATCCAAATAAATATAGAGAAAAGTTACCTATTTGACATGGAATTTGTTACCAAATTTACTCATTGAATAATTATTGAACACCTGTTATTGTGCCATTTACTATACTAAACCCAGGAAACAACAGTGAGCAGATTTTTAAAAATGCTTATTTGCAGAAATATATTCTAGTGATTAAATTATTTTGATGCATCTGTTTTTATTTTTTCTTTTTGAGTCACACCCAGCAGTGAACAGGGGTTACTCCTGGCTCTGCACTCAGGAGTTATTCCTGGCAGTGCTCAGGGGACCATACGGGATGCTGGGAATCGAACCCGGGTCGGCCACGTGCAATGCAAAGGCCCTACCCGCTGTGCTGTCGTTCCAGCCCCTGCGTCTGTTTTTAGAAGTCTTGTTTGTAAAAAGTATTAAGTAGAGGGGGCTGGCGTTATAGCACAACAGGTAGGGTGTTTGCCTTGCACGCGGCCGACCCGGGTTCGATTCCCAGCATCCCGTATGGTCCCCTGAGCACCGCCAGGAGTAACTCCTAAGTGCAGAGCCAGGAGTAAACCCTGTGCACTGCTGGGTGTGACCCAAAAAGCAAAAAAAAAAAAAAAAAAAAAAATTAAGTAGAGAATTCATTGTTGAATCTGACTTAAAACCAAGAATGTTTTTGTTGTGATTGGTTTATGTAATGACTGAATTACTGATATCAATTCCCCATTACTGGAAATGGTCTGAGTCAGAAACAGCACTTTGAGTGCTAAAGCTTCCAGGCCAAATTTATAAACTACTGAGTCACAAAAGTAGCTAACTTAAATTTTCTTTAAAAAAAAAAAAAAAGCACTGCCTTAAGGCCAGCATGATACTACTAAGATATTAAGGCACTTCCCTTTTTTTGCAGCTGAGCCCAGTTTGATTTCCAGTGCTGTGGGTTCCCTGATCATAACCAGAACAGAGTACCCCCAGCACCACCCCCTGCCACAGAGCCTGGTATGGCCTTGGAGCACTGCTGGATGTGGCCTAAAAACCTAAACGAAAATCTGCCTCATTAAATTTTTCTGTTTATATTAAATTTTTCTTTCTAAATATAAGCTTTTCTGTATACTATATTTTATTAGTAGGAAATATTATGGGCATGGATGTATTTTAAGTCATTATGATTCATATATTACAAAACAGGAAATAGCTAGTCTGTTTCATTCAGGTATATTACTGCTATTATTTTTTCTTGAAAAAGTATTATTATTATTTCTCTTTTTCGTTAGGACTGTCTCAAAACCAGAAAGAGTTAGTGGAGACAACATAATCTACAAACCACCAGGGGTAAGTGACTATTTCTCAGTGTGTATGATTTAAATATAATTTAAATACACATATAGCATAATATATAGTTCATGCATGTTAATGATTTCAGAGAGTTTTTATATAGAAAGGAACCTTAAAGCATCATATTTCACTCATTCAAACTCTCAAAGTAAAGATGAGGATTCAGGCACCTAAAGTCACACAGGCCTTTAGTGACTGAGCTGAAATGCGAGATCCTGGGAGTGACTATGTTGCTTCAACTAAAAAATTAGTCTGATGATCTAGATTGAAAATTAACAGCTTCGACCCAAATGAAACACTGCCTGTGATTTACACACACACTCCTCCCTCCACATCTCAGAAACACATTTTTCCAATTTCTAGCTTTCATTTTGATGTTGGTAGTGTTTGCAGCCTGGACTTTAAATAATTTTATGTAGTACTTTAGTCCCGTTTTGCTCGATTTGCTCGAGTGGGTACCAGTAATGTCTCCATTGTGAGACTTGTTACTGTTTTTGGCATATCGAATACGTCACGGGGAGCTTGCGAGCCTTTGCCGTACGGGCCGGATACTCTCAGTAGCTTGCTGGAATCTCCGAGAGGTGCAGAGGAATTGAACCTGGGTCGGCTGCATGCAAGGCAACTGCCCTACCCGCTGTGCTATAGCTCCAGCCCAACTTTATGTAGTCTGATAAAAAATGACTTTTCCCCCCATTAGAATGTTAATTTCCTATGTTGAATTTAGAAGGGTAGTTGCTTGTATTTTTCTTAAAACGCTTTTCTTTAGGAGTTAAAATCTTGTCTTCTGACCTTGCTTCGTGACAGGATACACATGTATACTTCATCAGTCACCCGTGTCCTGTACAGATAATTAAGTTTTAAAATAACCATACCTTATACTTATATAGTTTCTATATTTTTCTGGCCTTTTCACTGAAAGTCTATAAGCCTTCTGATAATTTAAACTGTAAGGGATAACTACGTTAATTCATTTAGATAATTATTTTCTCGTAATATCTGCCAGCCATTTGTAAAATTACTGATAAACAGACAGTTGATTTCAATAAAAGGAAAAACAGAATATCTAACTTCCTAAGTTTGGCAGATAGGTTTTTGGTAATCATAGAATTGCCTGCTTTTTGGTTTTTTAAATCATTTATCTCTATGTCACAGTTTTATTGTTTTTTGTTTATTTGTGTTTTAGTTTTCTGAGCTCAGAGATGGTTTTGTGAATTCATTTTTGCTTGTATAGGTTAGATATTTAATTTTCTTGTCTGTATCTATGACAGGGTTCTGCTCCAGATATGGTATACTTGGGATCTATGGCAAATTTTGATGTGACTTACAATTGGATTCAAGATAAATGTGTTCCTCTTGTCCGAGAAATAACATTTGAAAATGGAGAGGTATGTAGTTGGTATCTCCCCTAGTACCAAAAAGCTACAGAATGGTATTAGAGCATATTTATTTCCATATGACTTTTAGAGCCTACCATTTTGAGGTGACTTTTAGTGATTTGAGTATTTTTATGTTTACTAATTTTATGTTGGTTTTCTTTCAGTGTTCTTTTTGGACTACTTCTCCAAAGTGGATATTTCCCCTTATGAATCTTAAGTAATTCCTTATTCTCTAAGATGAATCTTGATCCATTGTAGTTATTTTACTTATAGTTAGTTTTGTGAGACTGTTTAACTCTGGCAGAACAAAAACAAAAAATGCCCAAGTGCTTATGTTCACGTGTTTTTCTTTCTTCATTTTTTGAAAATGAAAGTCTTGTATCATTAATACCCATGACATATTAATGACATATTAGAAGACCAAATATAGAGGCCAGAGGGATAGTACAGTGGGTAGCACACTTACTTTGCTCATGGCTGATAGGGGTTTGACTTCTGGCATCCCATATGGTCCCTTAACCCCCTCTAGGAGTGATCCCTAAGAACAGAGCTCGGAATATGCCCTGAGCAATCCTAGGGGGTAGGTATGGCTAAAAACAAAACAAGACAAAATAACTACCCCCAAAAAACATTTGACTAAAATTTTAGGAAAAAATTCCTGGATTTCAAACAATTTTTTATTGTAAGTTACAATTAAAAATTATATATATATATATACACACACAGACACATATATACACACACACATATATAAACATATATCATAAACATACATATTCTTTGAAAATTCTAGAACTCAATTGTGTGTGATGGCCTCTTTCTAATTTTTTTATGATCGCTTTCTAATTTTTCCTTTTTAATGCTGGAAACAAGTTAAATGTGCCATGCACAATGTAGTCCTCATCTTCAGCATGTCATTAGCAGTTACTATGTAAAGTGGACTCCTGTAGGTCATTATATCACAAAATCTAAACTGTTACTCCTACAATTTTAGTGTTTGACCACTAGGTGTCGATAATGTGTCATCATATTTTGTCTATAAAGTTCAAGCCAGGAAGAGACCAAAGTAATAAACTCCCTCTGTTTTTTCATGTCCATTCATATTTATGATTTCTTTTTAAACTTAAAATTTATCAATAGAATAAACACAATTATAAAAAAATTACAGTTTATTTAAAAAATAAACATTTCAGGAAAGATTTGCAGGCTGGAGAGATACTCCAGAGGTGAAGGTGTTTGCCTTGCACGTGATCAGCCCTGGATTGATCCCCGGAACTATGTGTAGACCCCTCAGCACTGTCTGGTTTCTTGAGCACAGAGCCAGGAGTAAGCCTTGAATATTGGCCAGTGTGACCCCACTCCTCACCCCCTCCCTCACAAAAACAGCAAAAATGTTTGCATATTAAAACAAATTATTATCAGTTAGGTTTTTAAATTTTTCCTGTTATTTGGTTTTTTTGAGTGGGTGGAAGTTACCGCCTCGCAGTGATCCGAGGGCCCTCCAGTGATCCTGGTTCACCTGGAGTCAGTAGGAGAGACCAAGAATGCAGTGGTGCCAGGGACTAGCCGGGCTACCCAGCAGAGTTGGGGCGATATTTGATTTTTAAAAGTGGAATAGGATTAGACTTTTTTCTCTTTCTAAATCTTATCACATGAACATACCTGCCACGTTTCTCAATTTTCTAAGCGTCAGGTATATTTGGCTGAATTACTTGACATTTATATTGTATTAGTTCTTGTAGTCCTTTGAGGCACAGAAAGATTTAGTAGCTTGTCACAAATTATTCACCTGCTTTGGCAGCTCTTTTAGGAATTATTTCAGATACAGAGTTTAAAGGTATATAAACCAGGAAAATCTGAAGTGATTATACAGTTCACCCCCAGCCCTACCCCATGGTAATTGGCGTATTTGATAATTCTTTAGATTTATTTTTTGTAGCCAACCATTTGGGGAAAGATTTGTTAACCTTTAAACTTGGTTATCTTGATCCTCTTCCCCTGCATATATTATACCTGTAAAGAATATGTTGTCGTGGGCATAGAAAACTTGGTAATCCATGCAGCATAGATGATCAGTTTCTGTTTTAATGTGTATAAATTCATTTAACAGATTAACCAACAGATATTTTCAGACTACCAATTGTTTTTTACTTCTCTCAGGATGATTATTAGCTTAGCCATAATTGAGTATACTCATTTTGGAGCCACGCCTGGCTCTGTGTTGTCTACATCCTGGTGATGCTCTCAGAGACCATGTGTAGCGTTCGAGATCAAACGAGGGTCACTCACATGCCAGGCAAGAAGCCTACCTTACATATTATCTCTCCCGCCCTTTGATTTGGAGCTAGTGGATATTTAGTCTAATAAAATACTAAGTTCAATTTGCTTTTATTTTCAACTTTCTGGCTCTTAAACTTTCTTAAAGGTGACAGTTAAGTTTTCTTTTCCAAATTGTATTTTTCCAGCAACACTGTATCTTATTCATTATCATGTGCAAAAAAAAAAAAAGAGCATCAAAGAAGTGAAATAAGATTTTTTTAAGGGGCTCTGTCTGATAGTTTACATGACAGATTTTGTAACATAAGATATGTCTCTGCCAGGAAATGTCCTGGGAGTTCAAAGGAGAGAAGTACTTCCATTTTTAATAGAAATAGGGTTACTAAAATAACAGAATAAAGGTTAGCTTTTTAGAAGCATCTTTAACACATTAAATGAAAGGGCTAAAGAAAGGACTTAAAAATTAGATGGAACTGGAGAGAGAATGCAAGGTTAAAGCACTTACCTTGAATGTGGCCAATCCCAGTTTGACTCCCTGTACCAAGTATGGTCCCCCAAGCACCCTCAGGGATCACTCCTAAGTGGAGGGACGTGAATAGCTCCCTGCGCACCATCATGTGTAACGCCAAGTCGCCTGCCCCCCAAGGAGAGGTACTCAAGGAAAAAGGGAAGAGGAAGAAACGTCGGAAAGGAAGGATCTGTGTGATGAACAATCCGTGTCTCGGGCACTGATTAGACTTTACATGAGCATATTAAGCAGGAAGTTTGAAATCTATACTTGTATTCTGGATAGAACTGGATAAGGGACTGGTTACAGGTGGTGACATTGAGGTTTTTCAACTGGCTCAAGTCTATGCAAAGAAGTTCAAACAGAACTTCTAGGAAGTAGCAACAGTGGGTAGGAAAAAGTGAGAAAGAAGAAGCTTTAAGTCAGCTTGCTTGCTAAAGCAGCAGTGTGATTGATGCTATGCCTGCTGTGAAAAAGTATGAAAACTGACCGCAATAGTGTTCATGATGTTAACAAAGTATGCATTAGTTTAAAACTGGCTGTATTTGGTGATTTTATTACTTGTTCATTTATTTTCATGCTGGGTTTCAAACCCAGGGCCTCACATATACAGAGAAAATGCTTTGCCACTGAGCTATGTCCCCTGTCTTTGTTTTGGGGCTGTAATCTTTTATTCTGAATCACTTTTCAACTTTGAGTAGGTCTCCTGTAAGAGCAGTGTTTCAGTAAAACTTAGAATAAACCTAAGCTTGCGAATCAGATTGCTGCTATCTGTAGGTTTTTAGTCTTGTCTCTGAAAACACTAATCTGATTTACCCCATCAACTTAAAATCAGTATCTTTATGAAAAAGCAACACAGTTTCTCTTCAGTAATTTGTTTTTTAGAACTGGCTCTCCCTGACTCCTCATTTGCACTACTAATAGATCAGGTCAGTGTACTGTACATCAGTTCTTGCAGTAAAACAGGACATGTGCTTCCTCTGGGAACTTCAGGTGCGGCGTTTCTCTGTTGCATCTTACATAGACTGAATTCAGAATTGTACCTCTTTGGTGGTGGTAGTGATGGTAGTTGCATAGATGTAAGAGATGCTAGACCAAACGCCGTGAAATCCTGTAGTATTATAAACCAATGATAAGTCAATGGGAAAAATTGTTTCTAGCTAGAAAATAATGACCAGAACTGAATGGAGAGGCTTGATAATTCTCATTGGATACTTTTCTATACAGGAATTGACAGAAGAAGGATTGCCTTTTCTCATACTCTTCCACATGAAAGAAGATACAGAAAGTTTAGAAATATTCCAGAATGAAGTAGCTCGGCAATTAATAAGTGAAAAAGGTAGACAGATTAAGGTGTTTATTTTCATCCTTCCTTTCTCTTTATTTCTTTTTCCTTCCTTCTCCCGTCATAGACGTACTCCACAACAGTTTTGAGTTAAAAACTTGTTACTTGAACTCTTCTCAATCCTGAATTTACATGCCATCGTGGGGGTGGGAAGACATTAGTATAAAACAGTGGCTTCAGAAAACCAAAAAGTGCAATGATGTTAAGTCCCTAAAATTAAATGATCCCCGAGATACAATAGCATGAAAAGTGGCACCCTGGGTGGACATGGTTAGCAAGCACTTTCTTCCATTACCTTGATACTTTCTGGTTGCTTTCTAGTCCCAGAGAAATAACCGAGATAAAGTTCTGATGAGCATTGACCTCTAGTGAAAGAAAGTTGGATGTTCTCTGTAGGCTGCCACACACCAGAAGAGGAATTTATAAGTCATCACTAACTTTCCCTTTGTAGTTATAGAGGAAAGTCAAGCAAAATAAACTGGAGGTACTGGATAGAGCCATGCCCTGATTTAGTAAATGGGGGTGGGGAGGAGAGGTGTGTGTTAAATTTTAATTGGATTAAAAACAGGTCAGTAGGGAATAGAAGGGCATCCTTGATGATGCTTGCATGAGAATAGCTTGTCTATCAGTTTTAGGAACTTACTCCCCAGACCTGGGTAATCTTCAAAGCAGATGAATGCCCACTTGAAAATACAAAATTCACTGTAGCATTTTGATTCAAGCAGAGTTCTTATAACTCCTAAGAAGGAAGGTTATACTCTTTCCTTAAGAACTAAAATCTACCTCCTGAAGTGTTAAAGTATTTGGGTTTAAGTTTTTTTTTTAATCTGTATTATGCTAAAGCATGTTAACCCTTTTTTTTAAGTTTTTGATTAACTTACAATTTTATGAGAATATAATCAAGAAAATTCATACATATTTATTCAAACTCTATTTCTTTTAAAGGTACAATAAACTTTTTACATGCTGACTGTGACAAATTTAGACATCCTCTTCTGCATATACAGAAAACACCGTCAGATTGCCCTGTAATAGCAATCGACAGCTTTAAGCATATGTATGTATTTGGAGACTTCAGGGAAGTATTGTAAGTAATTTTTTTTAGTTACTTAATTACTGATGTGTCTCAAAATTTAATTTTAAATGTTTGGATATTTGCAACAATAGTACTTGTTGTATGGATAAGAGCACATTTTCTTTCACTCTCAAATACGGTATAATTTTCTCAGAGAATTCTGATATAACCCTGTAGAAATGGTAATATTAGATAATTCTAATGCTTGGGGTTTAATCTTGAAAAGAAAAAGTTTATCTTCAGAGCAATTAGTTCTGAACTGAATTTCGCCTTTGTCAGCACCTCAAAGAAAGAACAAAAAATAACCCAGTATGAAAAGGTGGGTCAAAGAGATAGTGCCATGGTTAAGGCGCTTGCTTTGCACATGGCCAAACCTGGTTTGATCCCTAGTACTGCATATAGTTCCTCAGGCACCACCATGAATGATCTCTGATCACAGAGTCCCTAATAAGCCCTAAATACTGGTGATTGCATTGGCTGGAGCGATAGCACAGCGGGCAGGGCGTTTGCCTTGCAGGCGGCCGACCTAGGTTTGAGTCCTCCGTCCCTCTCGGAGAGCCCAGCAAGTTAACGAGAGTATTTCGCCCACACGGCAAAGCCTGGCAAGATACCCATGACATATTTGGTATGCCAAAAACAGTAACAACAAGTCTCACAATGGAGATGTTACTGGTGCCCGCTCGAGCAAATCAGTGAACAGTGGGAGGACAGTGCTGCAGTGCTATTGGTGAGTGTGGTCCTTGAATATAAAGTATGGAAAGAAAACAGGAAGCCTGGCTCAACAGGCTGAATACATGCTTGGCATGCAGGAAGCCCAGAGCTTGACTCTCCTCTCTTCTCCAGTTCCATCTTGAATAGGTTCTTTTTCCTACCTCTAGACGCTTACAGTGCTAATTTAGAGTCCCAAATTAGTAGAAATCAATAGGATTATGACTCAGGTTAGTCATAATAATTGTTAATAATTACTAATAATTAGCAACCAGAATATGTCCACCTTTAACTTAGATTACTTGGGAGTATTATATTAAATCAGGGAATTCCATCTTAGCTATCTTAAGTTTGCGTCTCTAATTCTAAAGGAATATTTAAAACAATATAAGACCAGAAGTATAACTCATAAGTAGACCATTTACCTTGCATATGTGAGGCCCTGGGTTCCATCCACAACACAGTGGGGGAAAGGAAAAAAGATTTAAAACACTGGGAATTCATTTTAGCATCATGTTGTCAGAGAACTGGTTGTATTCTTCATTAGATACTCATACACTCAGCTAGTTCACTGGGCCAAGAGGTGGGGATTTGGCCAAGCAAAGCTAATCTACCAGCTGGCAGTGACATCTCTCGGTAAAAAAGAAATGGAGTCAATAAGAATTCCCAAAGAAATCTGGAATGGGAGTGGTCCTCACTCATCCTTCAAGTATTTTGTCCTTTTTATAGGGATGGAGATAAGAGAAGTGCCCATATTTGAAGCTTTTTGTAGCAAATTACCTTTAATTTCTCCCTTAGGTGCCAGATTTTCTCTTCGAGGCACAATTCCCTCATATATTTTTTAATTGTAAAGAGGTACATGCCGTGTGAGCTACAAATTGAGTCTATGTGAATAAAAGTTCATGTTAAAAATCAAATAAAACATGCAGCAACGTGAATCTGACACATTTAATAGCTTGCATAATTGTTATTATGGTGCTTGGTAGTTAAGGCTTAAATGATAAGCAGTTTCCATAAATTACTGTAATTACTATTACTTCTACTTAATAACTCAGTGTTTCTGCGGTCAGTTGGAGGAAGTACGGTTTTGGTAAGGAGAAAGCATATTTATGATGGTCCCCTCTGTACCAGAGGAAGACACTGGTGGGCAAGAGAGGTAGCTACCAGTATTCTTTGCCTCTTATTTATTTCAGGGAAAAGCCTTAGAACAACTGAGAAACTTTGGAAAGGAAAATATCCACCAGGTCTACACAAGTAATAATGGCAGGACTGGGGTTTATGTTAGAGTGACTTGAACCCCTGGTGTTCCAGACTCATAACACTTGGTACTATAAAAGTTGTATTTTCTGTATATATAAAATGCAGCCTAAAACAGAAGGCTAAACACTGGAGCACATGCTTGCATGGGTTCAATGCCTGCCACCATGTGCTCTTCTGAGTACTGCTGGGTTGACCCCTCAGTGCTCCGGTATTGCCCTCAAAACAAGAAAATAATGAGAGGGTCTAGAGAGGTAGTATAGCAGGTGGGATGCTTGCCTTGCACACCTGGTTCGACCCCGGTTCGATTCCTGACATCACATATGGTCCTCCGAGCACCTCTAAGTCCTGAGCATTGCTGGGTATAGTCTAAAAACAAATTTAAAAAAATTAAATTTAAAAGAGAACATGAGGGGCTGGAGTGATAGCACAGCGGGTAGGGTGTTTGCCTTGCACGCAGCTGACCTGGGTTCGATTCCCAATATCCCATATGGTCCCCTGAGCACCGCCAGGGGGTAAGTCCTGAGTGCAGAGCCAGGAGTAACCCCTGTGCATCGCCAGGTGTGACCCTAAAAGCAAAAAATAAATAAAAATGAAAGAGAACATGAAATTGCTGGGTCATGCGGAAGCTCAATTCCTAATATTTTGAGGAATGTCTATATTGTCTTCCCATGACCTTCCCACCAACAGTGCATGTTTCCTTTTTCTCCATGTGCTGACAATGGTGGATGTTCTTTTTGATGTGTGTCAGTCTCTATGGTATGAGATAATATCTCATTCTTGTTTTAATTTGCATCTCTCTGATGACTAGTGATAACAGCATTTTTTCATAGGCCTTTTGGCCATTTGTATTCTTTCTTTGAGAAAGTTTCTGTTATCTCTTCTCCCCATTATTTGATGGGTTTTTTTTTTTCTTGTAAAGTTCTACTAGTGCTATATATATATCTGGGGAATCAACTTTTTATCAGATGAATGATGGGTAAATAATTTCTCCGAGTCCATGAGCTGTTGCTGTTTTGGCCTTCATTTCCTTTAGGTACAGAAGCTTCTTAATGTAGTCTCATTTGTTTATCTTTGTTTCCATTTGCTTGGTCAGTAGGGTTTCATCCTTAAAGATGTCTTTAATTTCAGTGTCAGAGGTCATGGAAAGTTCTGTCTACATTTTCCTCTACATATACCTTATGGATTCCAGAATCCTTATGGATTCTGATATTGAGGTCTTTAATCCATTTTGATTCAACTTTTGTGCATGGCATATTACATGTGACCGATCAGTTTTCCCAGCATCACTTATTGAAGAGGCTTTCCTTACACCACTTCATATTTTTTGCTTCTTTTTCAAAGATTAACTGACCATATACCTGAGGGTCTGGTTTGGATTTTCAATTCTATTTCATTGATCTGAGTGTCTGTCTTTATTCCAGTACCATACTGTTTTAATTCCTATTGCTTTATTGTAAGTTTTAAGTTGAGGCAAGTGATACCTTCCGTCTTTTTCCTGAGGATTGCTTTGGCTATTAGGGTATGGACATGGGGGAAGTTATTCCATATGAATTTCCATATGAGATTGATCTTATTTTTTTGGAAAATATCACGGGCATCCTGATAGGGATTGTATTGAATCTATATAATGCTTTGGGGAGTATTACGATTTTGATGATGTTAATCCTTTCATTCCATAAGCCTAAAAGGGTGGGAGGGTGGGTGGGAGGAAGAAAAAAGAAGTGTCTGCCGTAGAGTGAGTATAGTGGTGGAGGGAGTGGAGGGAAATTAGGGACATTCGTGGAGGGAAGTGTATACTAGTGAAGGGATTGGTGTTGGAACATTGTATGCCTGAAACTCAATCATGAGTAACTTTTTAACTCTGTAATTCACTGTGATTCAAAAAAACAAAAAGAAAGAAAAAGGAAATAAAAAAAAGATCAGAAAGAAGAATGAAAGATAGAGATTTTATTTACTAACCAGTACTGGAAACTAATTCTAAGTTGTCTCATTTCCTATAGTGATCAGGTTTCTTGTCAAACTTCAAGTTACTGGTTTCATAGAGAAAGAATAGTGTAATATTGTATGTGTGTGGGAGAGGGGGGAGAGGATGGCAGGTCTAAAAAAAATACTTTATTGTCCAGAGAGAAGAGAATAAATCATAAACGACAGGGTATGGTATACACTGTTGAACTTGCAGGAGAAACTTCTAACCAGTTGTGGACACCGAATACCCTCCCTACCAGCTGTTCCTTTGCTCAAAGGATTCTTAGATAGTTGTCACTGGACAGGAAAAAGGAGACTTCAAGTTGCTCCTTGGGAAATGGATCAGGCTAACACTAATGTTAGTGAGTTCTCCAGCACTGGACATCTAAGTCATTTGTCCCAAATCACTTTAACAACACTCTGGGAAAGTAGGCTATGGCTGGTTGACTGCGTACACGATAGGGTAAAGGGCAGGTGTGGTGATTGAGAGGCAGAGCACAATTAATATGAAGGGTAAGGTTTCTCACTAATTTAGCAATTTGGTCATCTCCTGTGATAAATTAGATTGTGTCCTTGAGCCTAAGGGAACAAACCAGGGATTGGATGGAATGATAAAGGATTTAGAGGTAGAGGTAAAGGAAACTTTACATCTGTCTCTTTAAAGTCACCAGTAAAGACTCTTTAGCTCTGAGAATGTGGTTTTGTTCATTCTTTACTGGATGGTTAAAAAAAAAAGTCCCTTTTTTAACCAAAAAATGATTTTATTAAATGGAAAAATATGGTTATAAGGAATCTTCTTAGACAATTTTATTTAGTTATTATTTTTTACCAAGATCTTTGTGACAAGAGTAGATAGACAGCAGTTGCTAGATGTTCAATAGACATTTTGATTAATTTATTTTGATTTGTCTCTACTATGAGAGTTGACAGTTTTTGAATGCATGCGTATTTGTAATGTATTTATCAACAACCCACTTATTTTCCACATAGTATCCTCCCTCTGTTCATCTCTAGTTTTGATTTTTTGAATGTTTTTCTGTTGATCACTGAGCAATATATAATATATGTGGACACACACA